CAGTCCCCCCTGCAGCCCAGGGGGTGGGGGTTAACCCCTCGCTGGCCCCGGTCTAACGCCACGGCCCCATGCAGGTACCGTAAGGGCGGCGTGGCCTCGGGCATGCGGCACGTGGAGACCAACACGCACCAGGTGCGGCGCCTGCTGCACGTCAAGGGCCGGAGGCGCGTGGCGGCCGGCGAGGTGGGTCCGGGCGAGCTGGGCCCACGTGTCCTGAGCCCTGTTCTGCGGTGGCAGGAGGACCCGGGGGCAGTCCCCCCTCCCTTGCCCCCAGCCCTGGGTTTAACCCCCGGCCCCTGTCCCAGGTGGAGCTGAGCTGGAATAGCTTCAACCTGGGCGACGTCTTCCTCCTCGACCTGGGCCAAGTCCTTGTGCAGTGGAATGGGCCCGAGAGCAACCGGCGCGAGCGCCTGCGGGTACCGCACCCCCCGCCCCTCACTCCCCACCCGCAGCCCCCGCCTCCGTGCCATCCCCCCTCCCTGGGCTGACCAGACCCCTGGGCTTTCCTGTGGGGCAGGCAATGACCCTGGCCAAGGAGATCCGGGACCAGGAGCGTGGCGGCCGTGCCGTCGTGGGCGTCGTGGACGGCGAGGACGAGGCCGCGTCCCCAGATCTCATGCGGGTGATGACCGAGGTGCTGGGCGAGCGCAAGAAGCTCGCAGCCGCCACCCCCGACACCCTGGTTGACCAGGCCCTGGCCACCTCGCTCAAGCTGTACCAGTGAGTCCCGGGTCGGGAGTGGGGGGCAATGGCAGGGGGAGTCACCCCTGCTACCTGGCTGCCAGACCCCGGGTCCACTGCATGGGGTGGGCAGCCCCCTCTTAAAGAGACGGCGCCCCCTTGCTGTGCTGAGTGTGCCCCTCTCGCCCCGGAAGCGTGTCCGACGCCGAAGGGAACCTCCTGGTGCAGGAAGTCGCCGTCCGGCCCCTGGCCCAAGACATGCTGAGCCACGACGTACGTGCCCCCATGAGAGCCCCCCACCCTTTCCCTGCCCGGGGCCTGATTCTGATGGCGCTGGGGTCTCTGCCTCCCAGGACTGCTACATCCTGGACCAGGGCGGCAGCAGGATCTTCGTGTGGAAGGGGAAGAATGCCAGCCGGCAGGAGCGGGACCAGGCCGTGAGCAGGGCCCTGGTGAGATGGGGGGCAGCCCTGGGGGGCCTGGAGCAAGGACCCTCCTCGTGCCCTCCCAGCACATGAGGGGCCCGGTCCCCTGCCCCATGCCCGGCCGTGTCCCCCCCCAGGGCTTCCTCAAGGCCAAGGGCTACCCAGAGACCACATCCGTGGAAATACAGAACGATGGGGCCGAGTCACCCGTCTTCAAGCAGCTTTTCCAGGGCTGGACAGAGCCGCAGCAGAGCCATGGCCTAGGCCAGACCCACGCCCGCGGCACCGTGGGTAAGCAGGGGGCATGGGGGTCTCCTCTTTTCAGAGGGCACTGTGATAAGGGGGGGGCACCCCTTGCTGGTACCCCTCACTCCGGACCCACAGCCCTGGGGTCCCCCTGCCAGACCCCATCCCACAGTGGTCCAGCCAGCATGGGGGAAGCGGTCTGGGGGGTCCCCCAGCCTCAGCCCCCCTCCCTGCCCCGCAGCCAAGGTGGAGCAGGTGAAGTTTGACGCCACGACACTGCACGCCCAGCCCCAAGTGGCTGCGCGGACCCGCATGGTGGATGACGGCTCCGGCGAGGTCCAGGTAGGCGCTGTGGGGCCCTTGCCCAGTGCCGGGGGGGTCGGCTGGGGGTGCAGGGGTCTCACCCCCCTGCCCGGCCCCCCAGGTGTGGCGAGTGGTGGAGCGGGAGCTGGTGCCCGTGGAGCGGCGCTGGCTGGGCCACTTCTACGGCGGCGACTGCTACCTGGTGCTGTACACCTACGAGGCGGGCGGCCGCCCCCATCGCATCCTCTACATCTGGCAGGTGAGGGGCTGCCCTGAGACCCCCGGGTCCTGGCTGGCTTGGGGGCACCAGGAGCCTTCCCTGGCCCTCTCACCAAGGGAAACTGAGGCACAGTGCAACACTCTGTGTCCCCTGGGACCGCAAGTCCAGGCTGGTGCTGTGGGGGGTTGGAGGGGGCTATGTGGCCATCCCAGCTCTGAGACACACCGTTCCCCCAGGGCCGCCACGCCAGCCCAGACGAGCTGGCCGCCTCAGCCTACCAGGCGGTGATCCTGGACCAGGAGTACGGGGGGGAGCCCATGCAAGTGCGCGTGCCCATGGGCAAGGAGCCCCCGCACCTGCTGGCTGTCTTCAAGGGCAAGATGGTGGTGTACACCGTGAGTACGGAGCGGGCCAGCTCCCAGCAGGCTGCTGGGGGGTCTGGCTTGGGCCCACGTGGCTAACGAGATGCCTTGGCTGTGCCCTGGGGCGGGGAGTGGCAACCCTAAGGATGCCTGAGCATGGCAGTGCTGGAATATGGGGAAGCTGAGGCACAGAGCTCAGCAGGGCTGGGCTTGAGCATGGCAGTGCCCCCCTCTAGCCATGTGGAAACTGAGGCACGGAGCGGTGCTGAGGCCACCCAGACAGCTGGTGGACGTGGAGGCTGGGACCGTGGAGCTGGCGCATCCCGGTGCCCCCCACCCCACAGTGCCCAAGCCCTGGCCCCAGCACTGGGAGCCCCCCTCCGACCCCTCCATCCCCGCAGGGCGGCAGCTCCCGGGCCGGAGCCACAGAGACGGCGCCGGCCACACGCCTGTTCCACGTGCACGGCGCCAGCGAGACCAGCACGAAAGCCATCGAGGTGCCCGCCCGTGCCGCCGCCCTCAACTCCAACGACGTCTTCGTGCTCAAGACCCCGGCCTGCTGCTACCTCTGGTACGGCAAGGTAGGTACAGCCAGGCCGGAGAGACCTGGGGGGGGCGAGGGGTCTTTGGGCAGCCGGCGCCCCCACGGTGCCTGCAGCCACCGCGCGCGCTGTCTCTGGCAGGGCTGCAGCGGGGATGAGCGGGAGATGGGCAAGATGGTAACCGACCTCATCGCCAAGACGGAGAAGCTGGTGGTGGCCGAAGGGCAGGAGCCCCCCGCCTTCTGGGCCGCGCTGGGCGGGAAAGCCCCCTACGCCAGCAGCAAGAGGTACCCCCGCGCTCCTTCCCCAAGGTCCCCGGGACCCTGCCGGAGCCGCCCACCATGCAGCCCGGAGACACCCCAAGGAGCGGCTGCTGGGAGGATTTGTTATGGTTATGGTGTTGCGGCCCCCTGCTCCAGGCTCAGTCTAGCCAGGTGGGGGGCTGAGGGTTGGAGTAGTAGGGACATGAGTGGATGGAGGGCGCAGGTGGGGGGCCGTGCCTTGTTTGCCCCGATTTATCGTAGAGACCCAGAGCCATGGGGCCGGCAGGGAGCTCTGGGGGCCACAGCTAGTCCAGCTGTGCACCTGAGGCAGGATCAGGCCCGTCCCGACCATGCCAGACACATCCATAGTCTTAGGATCCCAGCGCCATCTTGACATCACCTGCAATGCTTCACAGTCGGTCGTGTCTGCCCCCGAGTTCGCGGGCCCAGACCGGAGCGCCGGCTTCTAGCTAGACCCGGCGGGGCAGGGGGTAGAGGAGAGACGTCCCTGGGCCGGGCTGGTGGAGGACAGGCAGAGGAACGTGGAGCGCTTGAACAAGGAGAGAGCGGTGTTCACGCCTGGGAGTGGAGAAAGATTAGCAGGAACCCGGGACCTGACACTGAGCCACCAAATCAGTGCTGCCTGGATAGAAATGCGGCTGCGTCCAGGCGGGCAGGGATCAAAGCAGGGGTCCCCTGGGCAACGCAGCCACAGGAGGGGGGTCCCCACGCCCCCTCCCCAACCCATGTCCCGGCAGGTTGCAGGAGGAGACACCGTGCGTCGCCCCCCGCCTCTTTGAGTGCTCCAACCAGACAGGCACCTTCGTGGCCACTGAGATCGTGGACTTCAACCAGGATGACCTGGAGGAGGACGATGTCTTCCTGCTGGACACCTGGGACCAGGTGCGGGGCAGAGGAGCTAATTAAGCCTCCCTTAATGAGGTCCCCGGAGCAGCAAGAGGCTGGCCAGGGCAAGATTGAGACCCAGGCCCTCCCTGCATCCCCATGCCCCTAGCTGAGCCAGTAGCCTGAGCCGTGGGGTCCCGTGTCCAGAAAGGCCCCGATCCTGCCCTGTGCCCAGCCCCCTCGCTCTGGGCAGGTCTGGAGAGCCTGTCTGTGGCGCAGGTTTTCTTCTGGATCGGGAAGGAGGCGAACGCGAGCGAGCAGGAGGCGGCAGCGGTGATGGCCCAGGAGTACCTGAGCTCCCACCCCAGCGGGCGCGACCCCCGGACCCCCATCATGGTGGTGAGGCAGGGCCACGAGCCCCCCACCTTCACCGGCTGGTTCCTGGCCTGGGACCCCCTCAAGTGGCAAGTAAGTGACAGGCCAGGTAGGGACCCCCCGGCCCAGGCCCCGGCCCCAGCAGTGCACACTGGAGATTCAGAGCCCAGATGTTGGGGGTTTTAAACCCCAATTCACCCTGGCTATTTAAAACCCCCTGGCAGCTCTGGAGGCAAGGGCCGGGTCCCGTGGGTGGGTGCAGGAGCACCTCCTGGGGGGTGCACAGGGGCACCAACTCAGGTGGAGCCAGTGGCGGGGGGCAGCCTTGAGGGCAGGGGTGCCACAAAATTGCCCTGTCCCCTCCCTGATCCCCTTCCCCATCCAATCCACTGCTCTGGGCTCTGCTTCCTGCCATGGGCTCCCTGTCCCATCGGCTGCTCTGCTTTCTGCTCCCTGCCCTGTGTGCTCTGCCTGATCCTCTGCTCCACTTTCTGCTCCCGCCCTTATTGGCTGTTCAGCTTTCTGCTCCCTGCCTTGTGCTCCCTGCTCCATCCCCAGCTCTGCTTTCTGTTCCCTGCCTCACTGTCTCTATTCAATGTGCTGCTTGGCTCCCTGCTCCTTGCCCCCTGCCCCATCCGCTGCTCTGCTTTCTGCCCCCTGTACTATCAGCTTTTCTGCTTTCTGCGCCCCGCCCTGCTCTTTCTCTTTAATCTTCTGCTCTGCTTTCTGCTCCCTGCCCTGTGCTTTCTACCCAATCTGCTCCTCTGCACTTTGCTCCCTGCCCAGCCTCAGGGCACTGCTGTGCTGAAAGGAGATGGATGAGCTCCTGGACCTCAGCTGCCTCTGAGCTCACCGGACGTGCCTGAGCCCTGGTCTCCATCTCTCTCCCCGACAGGACAAGAAGTCGTATGAGGAGCTGAGGGCTGAGCTTCAAGACAACAAAAACTTTAGCCTTGTCACAGCAGTAAGTGCCCAGGTGCCCCGGGGCAGGTAGACAGCAGCACTACGGCACCGTGGGCTGATCGAGGAGTTTGCAAACCCATCACC